TGCTAACCTTGCCAAAAAAAAATCCCACAGACTCAGACACATGTAAACACACGTCTTTCAGGCAGCTATCCAAACTCTCTTCTCCTTTCACCAGTCAGCTCGACAGATGTTGTGTCCATCATTTATTCACTAAAAACCAAAGCTGAGAACATTAGTGAAATACCATCCATGGTGTACAGGAGTACCTCCCATGCCCTTGTGCCACCCATAGCTCTGCTGTTCAACAAATTTCTAGTGTCATACTTTCCCTGATATCCTGAAGAAAGCAAGAGTAACGCCAGTTCATAAAGGAGGCAATCCGGCAAACACAATGGGCCTAAACAACCCTACAGAGGTTGACAGGCATAAACAATCCTCCAGAGGTTGATAAGTTTTACTAACCATGTTGTATTAACAGAGTATACCCGTGTATGAAGCGTACATTATATTTCAATCGGCAAGGACATGTATGCCTGGTACACTCAAACTTGTTATGTTATTTAAAAGTCTATATAAACTGATTTTCCTATTGCTGCCGACTATTAATTAAAATAGAAAAATTGTACTAAACTGTTACGTCAGACGCTAACAAAGATTTGACCTTACTAAATAATGTTAATCTTTAATTGAATACTACATTAAGCGAAAAGATATTTGTTCTTAAGTACGCAGTAATATATATATAATAACTGCAAACTAAATGAAATTGACAACAACACACCACACTTACCAAAATTTTGAGTGAAAATATTAAAACATAAAGTATAGTTGATAGTTACTCACTAAACTGTTGTAGCTTAAAGAAAACTCAATAGGTTATTGGGTAATTATAGCAACCTTGCAAAGTTTGGTAGGCCTAATCAACCCTTCCCCTATTGATAGGCCCTGGCAACCCTACAGAGGTTGATAGACCGTGGCTACCCTACAGAGGTTGATAGACCTTGACAACCATTCAGAAGCTGATAAGCCTTACTAACCATGTTGTATATACAGAGTATACCCGTGTATAAAGTGTTCAGTATATATTCCAGTCAGCAAGGGGAGTACCTGGTACACTCACTTGTTTAGCAATTTAAAAGTTTACACTCAACAGTTTACCTCTTGCTTCAAACAGTTAATTAAGCTAAAAAAAATAGTATTAAATTATTTACATCTGAAATATATAAAGAAGTTATATTAGAAAATTATGTTAATCTTGAATTTAATACTATATTACCCTGGTTGATACCTGGTTGATGGGGTTCTGGGAGTTCTTCTACTCCCCAAGCCCGGCCCGAGGCCAGGCTTGACTTGTGAGAGTTTGGTCCACCAGGCTGTTGCTTGGAGCGGCCCGCAGGCCCACATATACCTGGTTGATGGGGTTCTGGGAGTTCTTCTACTCCCCAAGCCCGGCCCGAGGCCAGGCTCGACTTGTGAGAGTTTGGTCCACCAGGCTGTTGCTTGGAGCGGCCCGCAGGCCCACATACCCACCACAGCCTGGTTGGTCCGGCACTCCTTGGAGGAATAAATCTAGTTTCCTCTTGAAAATGTCCACGGTTGTTCCGGCAATATTTCTTATGCTTGCTGGGAGGACGTTGAACAACCGCGGACCTCTGATGTTTATACAGTGTTCTCTGATTGTGCCTATGGCACCTCTGCTCTTCACTGGACCTCTGATGTTTATACAGTGTTCTCTGATTGTGCCTATGGCACCCCTGCTCTTCATTGGTTCTATTCTACATTTTCTTCCATATCGTTCACTCCAGTACGTTGTTATTTTACTGTGTAGATTTGGGACTTGGCCCTCCAGTATCTTCCAGGTGTATATTATTTGATATCTCTCTCGTCTTCTTTCTAGTGAGTACATTTGGAGAGCTTTGAGACGAGCCCAATAATTTAGGTGTTTTATCTCGTCTATGCGTGCCGTATATGTTCTCTGTATTCCCTCTATTTCAGCAATCTCTCCTGCTCTGAAGGGGGAAGTGAGTACTGAGCAGTACTCAAGACCCGGGAATGATTTCATCTTAAAGTACGCAGTAACCTATGTAATGGTTGGAGATTACACACATATATATACAAGTGTTTCACTACATCTTTAATAATTTTTGAAAATGCTTTTAATATGAAAAACATTATTAAATATGACATTTGCTAAAGGTAACTAAACTATCGTAGCTTTAAGATTGTTCCATAAGTTGTTGGGTCATTACAGTAACCTTCCAGAGGTTGATAGGCCTATACAAGGGTCTATAAGCCTACCGAAAGTCCCGGTAGTAGAGTTGGTTCGATCTCGACGCACAAGTGAAATTTCCGGGTTCGAATCCCAGGCGGGACAGAAATGGTTGGGCACATTTCCTTTCACCTCATGCAGCTGTTCACCTAGCAGTTTGTAGGTACCCAGGAGTTAGTTGTGCTGGGCGGGGTCAGTAATTCCTCCCCCAGAGGGGGGGGGGGGTTCCTCAGTATAAGCCTTACCTACATTGAGGTTACCTTGAGGTGTTTCCGGGGCTTAGCGTCGCCGCGGCCCGGTCGACGCGGCTGCTCGCAGCCTGACGTATGAATCACAGCCTGGTTGATCAGGTATCCTTAGGAGGTGCTTATCAAGTTCTCTCTTGAACACTGTGAGGGGTCGGCCAGTTATGTCCCTTATGTGTAGTGGAAGCGTGTTGAACAGTCTCGGGCCTCTGATGTTGATAGTTCTCTCTTGAACACTGTGAGGGGTCGGCCAGTTATGTCCCTTATGTGTAGTGGAAGCGTGTTGAACAGTCTCGGGCCTCTGATGTTGATAGTTCTCTCTTGAACACTGTGAGGGGTCGGCCAGTTATGTCCCTTATGTGTAGTGGAAGCGTGTTGAACAGTCTCGGGCCTCTGATGTTGATAGTTCTCTCTTGAACACTGAGAGGGGTCGGCCAGTTATGTCCCTTATGTGTAGTGGAAGCGTGTTGAACAGTCTCGGGCCTCTGATGTTGATAGTTCTCTCTTGAACACTGTGAGGGGTCGGCCAGTTAGGTCCCTTATGTGTAGTGGAAGCGTGTTGAACAGTCTCGGGCCTCTGATGTTGATAGTTCTCTCTTGAACACTGTGAGGGGTCGGCCAGTTATGTCCCTTATGTGTAGTGGAAGCGTGTTGAACAGTCTCGGGCCTCTGATGTTGATAGTTCTCTCTTGAACACTGTGAGGGGTCGGCCAGTTATGTCCCTTATGTGTAGTGGAAGCGTGTTGAACAGTCTCGGGCCTCTGATGTTGATAGTTCTCTCTTGAACACTGTGAGGGGTCGGCCAGTTATGTCCCTTATGTGTAGTGGAAGCGTGTTGAACAGTCTCGGGCCTCTGATGTTGATAGTTCTCTCTTGAACACTGTGAGGGGTCGGCCAGTTATGTCCCTTATGTGTAGTGGAAGCGTGTTGAACAGTCTCGGGCCACTGATGTTGATAGTTCTCTCTTGAACACTGTGAGGGGTCGGCCAGTTATGTCCCTTATGTGTAGTGGAAGCGTGTTGAACAGTCTCGGGCCACTGATGTTGATAGTTCTCTCTTGAACACTGTGAGGGGTCTGCCAGTTATGCCCCTTATGTGTAGTGGAAGCGTGTTGAACAGTCTCGGGCCTCTGATGTTGATAGTTCTCTCTTGAACACTGTGAGGGGTCTGCCAGTTATGCCCCTTATGTGTAGTGGAAGCGTGTTGAACAGTCTCGGGCCTCTGATGTTGATAGTTCTCTCTTGAACACTGTGAGGGGTCGGCCAGTTATGTCCCTTATGTGTAGTGGAAGCGTGTTGAACAGTCTCGGGCCTCTGATGTTGATAGAGTTCTCTCTCAGAGTACCTATTGCACCTCTACTTTTCAACGGGGGTATTCTGCACATCCTGCCATGCCTACTGGTCTCATGTGGTGTTATTTCTGTGTGCAGGTTTGGGACCAGCCCCTCTACTATTTACCACGTGTAAATTATTATGTATTTCTCCCGCCTGCGCTCAAGAGAATGCAGATTTACGCTCTTAAGTTGGTCCCAATAGTTTAGATGTTTTACTGCCTAACGTGAATGAATACACCCTGGCTGCCTGTCCCCCGACACAGGGGATTATATTATAATTATTATAACAGTGTAAATATCAGAGTCTGAACCTTAAGAGATCCATAAATCATATCAACTTTTATAAACAAACTTGTTTAACTATTTCTCCATTAACTACTGAACCAGACAACGGCCATCTTAGTACAACAAATATAATGAAAACATTGTAACAATACTAACACCGCACCAATGACCATCTATAAGAATATATAAGAACCGTCTATAATAAAACGATCATTGAGGCGGTGGTCACGGTACTGTGTACGTTTAAGGGTGATCCTGGACGGCATGGGTTCGAATCCTGGAGAGGAGATGATCATGAACTGTGAACTCTCTTTCTCGTGTCCGAAAGGCCAGGACGTGTTACTGGCTAAGCTACAATGTGCATTAAACCCTCAAAATCTGGACATATACATCCCATTTTATATATATATATATACGAATATTTTTAAAAGCATCCAGCATTACTGCGAAGAGGTTGGTGGAGAAGCAGGGATCCGGATGAAGGAGGCCACCAGGGTGAACACTCCGGACTGTGGATCCGGAAAACTCTGCCATTTGATAGTTTTACAGCTCGACCCATTCTTCCTTCAGCGGCCATTCCTGGGGAGACCTCACCAGGTGCCCCAAGGCAGCACCCGCAGGCATATTACTCCGCTGGGATAAGCTGAAATATTTATGTCACCTCCATGTTGAATATGGGGAGCAAGCACACCCACTTACGTCCCTCCATGTCAGGTATGACAAGGCTCCCCTCCCCCTCATCATATCTGTGGGGAGGACCTTTGACTAGCCGCTGGCTTCGTGTCCTCGTCGAGGCTACTACAGGGTTAGTGGCCCCTGGGCAGATAACCTTGTGGCAGCGATGCCTCTCCTTCCAGGGGTCTGTCAACTTCCTGCCTCGTCTCCTTCACCGCCAAACACCCAAACTTGTAAATAATCACAGTGTTAAGACGTAAATAAAACAATCCTATAATGTTATTATGTATTTTAAATTCTTCATTAGATACAATCGTGTCCCCAGAACTCTAATCCCCCGTTTTCTTTACCATAACGTATTTCTCGTAAAAATATAATTAAATTTTATTCATTTTCTCTGATTATTGCGTTAATCTAGAATATATTTTATATTTTGTCAATGATTCGTTTTTGGTTGATGTAGTGTGTTCTAAAAATGATGATAATTATAGTTAAGTGATTGCAAAGCAAACCGTTAAAAAGGACTTTATACTCAATAGGACATTAAAGGGGAAGTAGCCAGCCTCTAAACCAAGCATGATGGAGGGTGATAGTGTTGCTTAATGGTATTGGAATCTTTTCTAAAACATATAATGATCCAGTGTTACTTAAGAAGGGTCAGAATACACTGCACAAACGCTCCAAAAGGGAAAACAAATGACAATCACTCGCCAAATTCTAATGTCAACACCAACTTTCGATTCCATTCTGAATTCTTATAACTTTTCCAGCCATATTACTTTTGTTTTTGTGTATTTACAAACAATAAATCCTCGTTGAATCAGAAATAGCAAACTCTCTGCTACTGTATTTAGTTAAAATAATTAATTTTACGCAACATCATTATGCATTAATTTCTTTATTTTTACATTTGGTCAAATATAGAGAAACAGGAGTTGAGGTGAACATTAAAGTTTTTTTTATCATTTATTCGTCGTTTGGCTTTAATTGTATTTCAGCGTTAATTTACATAATAATAATAATTCAAGATCCTGAGCGCCAGAAGGAGACGTCAACGCCCCTGACGGCTCAATATCCTGAGGAAGAGAAAGAGAATAAAGATTAGATGTTATGAACTTCAAAATCAAACAATTTTGATACAATATATAGAAAATCTGAACAAATATGAAATATGAGTAACTGTGCAGATACTGAGTTACAATAACGTGGCTGAAATATGTTGACCAGACCACACACTAGAAGGTGAAGGGACGACGACGTTTCGGTCCGTCCTGGACCATTCTCTTGGCAATCGACTTGAGAATGGTCCAGGACGGACCGAAATGTCGTCGTCCCTTCACCTTCTAGTGTGGTCTGGTCAACATAAGTAACAGTGTACAGGTTTTTGTAATATATAAAACATGAAGAAAGCTCATATTTTATATATATTATATATATATATATATATATATATATATATATATATATATATATATATATATATATATATATATATATATATATGAGGACGGGCTGATATATATATATAAAACTACATAGATCAAATATCAACCACAATATATAGCAATAATAAAAGGTTTATCAAGCCACAAATCCAACATTAAAACTATTCAATAATAGAACATTATATGATAATAAATTAATATGAATACTTCTGTTTTTCTAGTTTGAAACTAATAATATATATTGGTGATGAAATACTGAGAGCAACAAAGAAATATTTACAAGATATATGGATAAACTAATCATTATATATAGTTTTTAATAGTCTTATTGTCTATTAATGATTTAATAGACAATTACTATTAATTAATGATAATAATAGTCTATTAATATGTTTATAACTTAGAGAAGAAGCAATAGTGTGTTACCCTACTAAACATACAGTTATAACTTAGAGAAGAAGCAGTAGTGTGTTACCCAACTAAACATACAGTTATAACTTAGAGAAGAAGCAATAGTGTGTTACCCAACTAAACATACAGTTATAACTTAGAGAAGAAGCAATAGTGTGTTACCCAACTAAACATACAGTTATAACTTAGAGAAGAAGCAATAGTGTGTTACCCAACTAAACATACAGTTATAACTTAGAGAAGAAGCAATAGTGTGTTACCCAACTAAACATACAGTTATAACTTAGAGAAGAAGCAATAGTGTGTTACCCAACTAAACATACAGTTATAACTTAGAGAAGAAGCAATCGTGTGTTACCCAACTAAACATACAGTTATAACTTAGAGAAGAAGCAATAGTGTGTTACCCAACTAAACATACACTTCACATATGTTTATAAAACAAAAACATGGATGAAAATATAAAAATATATAGGAAAAATTATAAACATAAAAGCCCTCAATTAATTTCCTTAATGTACCAACATCCAGCAGCAGGAACAGTTACCTGAACATGACATTTAAGTAGCAGTATTGAAGGAAGAGTTTTAAATAACAGACACAATACAAATATAGTAAAAATACCAATTATAAAAACAATTCCCAACACCGCATTTCCCAATTTGAAGCGTTCACAGAAAAGAGTCACAACCGCCCAAAACCCATCAGCTGACCAAGATGGCGGCGCCAGCAGCCAATATGTTCCTCCTTATCTCTCATTTGCCTGGCGTGTTCCCGCTAGCCAGGAAGTGAGAGTCTTCGCCGTTGCCTCCAATATCACCCTCAGCGCAGGCAGCATCGCCCAGGTTGAAGCAGAAGCTGCGGCACTGCCTGTCCGGGTTAGTGGAGCAGTAGGAACGAATGGCGCGCCGTGATACCCTCAAACCACGGAAGTCTATGGCGGCGGCACTTGCCTTGGCCAATTGCTCCAGCTCATGTTCCAGGTATGACTGTCCGCTGTTTTATGGGTGGCAGTGAGTGCTTTAAGGATGCTTGAATTAAGGGTGGTAGATACAATGGGGTACAAACTATCATTAAAAAACATTTAATTGCGTGTTGTCTTCCTGCTTCAACCTACTACAGGTAGGACTATACTTATTCACAACACGTTTTACATACATATAAAACTAACAAAACACATATACAATATATGGATTAAGGGAAGGGAGGGAGAGGTCACAGTGGTATAAAAAATGGAGTATGGTTAAATCGTACACAAGACTGTTCAACAAAACCTGTTTTCCGATTTTCAAGACCGGATATATCGTTAGATTAGGATATATTAGCTTAGGTTAGGCTCGGTTGAATTACGTAATGTTAGCTTAGGTTAGGCTTGATTGAGTTACGTAATGTTAGGTTAGGTTAGGCTTGATTGAGTTACGTAATGTTAGGTTAGGTTAGGCTCGGTTGAGTTACATAATGTTAGCTTAGGTTAGGCTCGGTTGAGTTACATAATGTTAGGTTAGGTTAGGCTTGGTTGAGTTACGTAATGTTAGGTTAGGTTAGGTTAGGCTCGGTTGAGTTACGTAATGTTAGGTTAGGTTAGGCTCGGTTGAGTTACGTAATGTTAGCTTAGGTTAGGCTCGGTTGAGTTACGCAATGTTAGGTTAGGTTAGGCTCGGTTGAGTTACGTAATGTTAGGTTAGGTTAGGCTCGGTTGAGTTACGTAATGTTAGGTTAGGTTAGGCTTGGTTAAGTTACGCAATGTTAGCTTAGGTTAGGCTTGGTTGAGTTACGTAATGTTAGCTTAGATTAGGCTCAACGGAGTTATGTAATATTAGATTAGATTAGGCATATTTTAAAATTTGCGTACTGCCTTGTTTACATGTGACTTGTATCTGTAAAAAGGGAACACAGTTTCAATTTCTTGCATACATTTTAGAGGGTGTTAAAAGCTCTTTTGAGATTCATGAAGGATGATTAATTTTTAATTCTCAACTAAGTTGAATTACTGGCAACAAATTATTACTAAACATACACTCAATATTAAATAAATTTTGTATTGTAAAGTCATTTGTCTTATTATTAACGCTAAAATTATAATAACAAATACTAATTAATTCTATGCTTTTGGAGATTTTGAAAACTGAATTATCACAAGGTTTTTGTAATATTTATGTCCAGTATTTATTGAATTTTGATATACATTGTGAATTTGATATGAATAATGGTAAATTTGTCCCAGATTTTTGTAGAGGAAGAAAACTATTTTGAAAATCAGTATAACTAAGTGATTAGGTCATGAACTAATATTTAAGGTAATTGAGTCTGATTGATACAAAAAAACTGAAAGTAATAAACTAACATAAAACAGATGGGTTAGGATACTAAAGATTACGATACATAAGGATACTAGCTAAGGATTAGGATATATTTACATAAGGATATGACTGTTAAATCAAGTCATATTAATTTACGTCCACACGTTTAGTAGAAACACTACCCAATATTAACCCTAATTATAATTCTTTTGAACACTGAAATAATTTAAGCATAACAAAATTGTTGATGAAGGAATCTTTGTATCAACTGCAGGCCAAAATATCCTGAAATTAAAGGAATTATTTAAATTATGTACAACAGCCTAATCTGCAAAGCAAGACTCTACAACAGTTTTGGAAATAAGATTGATGGCAGTTATGGTATGGTTTCTGGTCTTTTAACTATCATTGAAGTTTTAATTACTTAGTTTTTTAGATTTAGAGTATTCTATTTTCATAGTCATATTTTGGACAAATTTTAGTGTTTGAGATTGATTAGGGAATGAGAAAAGTATTCTATTGTTTCTGATGCCACAAACATTATTGCTACTGCTACCACTACTACTGCTGCTACCACCATCACCACTACTGCTGCTACTACCACCATCACCACTACTGCTGCTACTACCACCATCACTGCTACTACCACCATCACCACACTGCTGCTACTACCACCATACTACTACCACCATCACCTACTACCACCATCACCACTACCACCACCACCAATCCCCACTACAATCACAAGCTCACCGTAAAAGCCCTTACAAACAGCCCCCAATCCCACTCTCCGAGACCTCATTGGGGCTCTCGCGACCTCTCCATCAGAGGAAAGACGGCATAGTCAGCCTCCTGTGGAGACCTCCTCCTCCTGCGGCGTCCGGGGGAGTTGAGGGAGTCCCAATAGTTCTTCTCGGCCATGGCGCCCACTAAATCCTTATAGTCGCAGCCATGGGAGAGCCCGGCGTTGATGTAGCATGTCCGCTTCCTGTGGGGCGGAGTTTTAGGTGTCGGGGGCTGGCCGTTTGGGAGCAAGCAAGAGCTGACTATTGTTTTTAGGGGGGTAGAAAGGGTCAGGGATTTTTTGTGGGAAGTTATGGCTGGGGATTTTTGCTTCCTTGGCTAGGAGTAGGAGGCTGGGATTTTTCTGGATGTAAGGAAATAAAGGCTGGGAATTTTTGCTGCCTTGGCTAGGAGGAAGAGGCTGGGAATTTTTCTAGACGTAAGGAAATAAGGGCTGGGAATTTTTGCTTTCTAGGCTGGGAATTTTTGCTTTCAAGGCTGGGAATTTTTGCTTTCTAGGCTGGGAGGAAGAGGTTGGAAATTTTTCTAGACGTGAGCAAATAAGGGCTGGTAATTTTTGCATCCTTGGCAAGGAGCAAGAGGCTGGGGATTTTTTCTACAACACTGCATACAGATTCCAAAACACTTAATAATTTCTAAATTAATTCTACAAGCTAAGAGGTATAATAGCCTACTGGAGCTAATTTTGAAGCCAAGTAATATATTATAAAGTGTTGATAAACATGAAGACTTTACTTAGTGTTAAGCAATATATTAAGAACAGAGGCAGGTGGGAGGAAGTCTGATGAGCTGAGAAAGGCTGCTCCTTCTACCTCCTGCTATGAGGCGTCTACTGGGCGAGAGTAGAATACGTTCAGACGTGAGAGTAGAATACGTTCAGACGTGAGAGTAGAATACGTTCAGACGTGAGAGTAGAATACGTTCAGACGTGAGAGTAGAATACGTTTAGACGTGAGAGTAGAATACGTTTAGACGTGAGAGTAGAATACGTTTAGACGTGAGAGTAGAATACATTTAGACGTGAGAGTAGAATACATTTAGACGTGAGAGTAGAATACGTTTAGACGTGAGAGTAGAATACGTTTAGACGTGAGAGTAGAATACATTTAGACGTGA